ATCGCTGTTGCTTCTGCTGTTGGAATTGGGTGTAATCTACTACAGATCGTTATACGTCCTGCTAGAAAAATGCAAGCAGTCTAGGGAAAAAGGGTTTCTAGCTAAGCTTTTCCTGTGCCAGCTTCTACTTGCAAAGCTTTAGAGCATTGAAATGTGATTCTGCCCCCCCCCCCACACACACACTTTGTGTGTTTGTGAAGGAAGCATACCTAATACACCTCCAGTGAAAAGATTGATCAGAGAGTAGGCGATGGAAGGAACTTGGCCTGAGATCACAGAGAACTAGTGCCAGTCAGGGAAGGCAAATCAGTACTGGAGTCTAAGCCGTTTCTTATGAAGTGGAACTGTGAGGTTTCTCAGAGGCTGTGCCAACAGAAATAATAAACTTCTGTCTTTTCTTCTTTTAAGCGTTGTTAAAGGCCGGATCCCACAAATTGGTGAGAAAGTGCTGGTGAAAGCTGTTTACAACCCCAGCCAATCGGTGCCCTGGAATGCCTTGAAGGTCCAGACCTTGTCCAATCAGGTAGCAGCCAGTTTTGCTCTTCAGGTGGATGAAGCGATTCCTTCTTGGTATTTGGGCTTTGGTTTCTGTCATGGTGCTAATCTTATGACCCGGGGCGTCAACACTTTTGTTTAGCGCTTTGCTGTGACTTGTGGCAAAGCAGTGGAAGGTATCCTAGTTAATGTGGCAAAGAAACCAGATGGCAGGGAATGTTATTGTGGGTAAGACAAGAGTAATTTAATAAGCCATCTGTCAGCTGCCACCTTTTGTGTGCTTGTGACAGAGTGCCATGAACTGGGAAGGAGGAATGAAGGGGAGGGAATGCTTGGGAAAATGAAAGTAAGGGCTCTGCTTTCTTGAGACGCTGCCTCAAGGTCACCCAGCTCGAAGGAGGAGGGGCATTCCAAGGTGCCCTTGGACCATCTGTTATGAAAACATCAGGGTTACACCAGGGTGGGCCAGGAGAGACAGTTGAGGGAGGGAAAAGAAGTTAGGGAGTTTGGCGCATGATTCCCAGTTCTGGCTATACACTATTGCAACACACTTGGTCTCTAATAAACTCTACCTTTTTCAACAAATGGAGCCAAGGATTGTTTCTATTTACGGCATTAAACTCAAGGCCTGGGAGCCAGATCGAGCCCATGGGGTGCTTCGATCTGGCCAGCGGAAACAGAGAAGTTTCCGGCCCAGGGGGCCTCTGCCAGCAAAAACGGAGCTTGGGAGGGCCGCATGCGAGACCCTCCCGAGCTCCGTTTTTGCTAGCAGAGGGTTGCAGGAGGCCATCACAGGCGAAAACGGAACATGGGAGCCCATTTTTGCTGGCAGAGTGCTCAGGCCACCACGGGCACCCCTGACACATGTGACATTGAGTGCTCAGGCCACCACGGGCACCCACCCTGGCCATGCCCACCCTGGCCCCCTGAGGTCAAACACAACCCCGATGTGGCCCTCAATGAAATCAAGTTTGACAGCCCTGATTTAGAGGGCTAAGTTGGGGTAGGTCCAAAACCATCTTTTCATTCATGAAACGTTTGTTCATTCACGGTTTGGAAGTTTTTCAGTAAGCAAAGTTACTTTTGTTACGAATTCTTCATTTATATATATATGTTTTCTTAAGTTTTCGCGGGTACTTACATGTATGGCATTCAGCTTTGTTCGGGTATTTTCCCACGTCATTGTAGTTGTGCTTTTAAAGTTGTAGCAATATTTTGGCAGAATCTCATCTGCCATCATCAGGCAAATATATATATATATTTCTCTCTCCCCCCCAGCCTCTTCTGAAGCCCCCCACTCCTCTGCTCCATGTAGCTTCTTTGGGACAGAAGCAAGGCATTCTGGGGGCTCAGCCCCAGCTGCTCTTCCAGCCACACCGGATCCCACCTCTCTTTCCCCAGAAACGTAAGTGTGACTGCATGTTGTGCTAGCGACACAGCATCGTAGGGTGAAGAAATCCGATCGGAGGTGGAGTGTTAAATGTTCAAATCTTGAGCCCGAGAGGCATTTTCCTGTGAGGAAGCTAGAGGGACAAACTCTTTCGGAAACCAGATGGAAAATGTGAAGCCATGGCTTATTTTCTAAGTAGTTTTTCCCTATTCATTCTGATTTATGGAAGGGAATAATGTAACAAACAGCTTTTCTAGACCATGAGAGAAGTCTGTAATCCTGGTAAATTATCTAGATGGGGCTGTGGTGTTATTTGTGGGGGCCATGGTTGCCAAAAAAAAGAAATTGAAGGGCATTTGGGGACACCTGTGATTTTTGTCGTCCTGGTTTATCCCCACGAGGTGGATGAAGTTGCACGCATCCAGGTGCGTGTAACCTGGAACCAGCGATGGCTGATCTGGCGTGTAAGGCCTAGAAGCAAATCGGTTCTCCTTGGAGGAGGAGAAAATAAGGCTGAGTGTGTTTCTTCTCCAGCAATGAGCCTCTTCCAGACGTCTCCATCGCTCCATTTGGGCCACCTTGGGAGATACGCCGGTCGAGGTCCTAAAGGCAGGCAGGAGTCAGGCAGATGGTAAGCATCATCACAGCGGGTCATTTGGTGTTGGCACAGCATCCTGCCTGTCGCACCACATCGTGTGAGTTCCCACTTTCCCAAGGAGCCTTTCTTGCCCCCTTTTTCCCCTGGAGGGTGTTTTGCCTTTCAGCTGGTCTCTCAGTCCGTGGGGTGCAGCTTCCTGTACTTACCTGTCTCTTTGCCTCCGGGCAGAAAAGCTCTTGATGCAAATCTAGCAACCTTCCCTATTTCCTGGGGAGAAGATTTCTCCTTCTAGAGGCAGGGTGGTCCGCTTTTCTTAGCAGCGATCCAGGATCCCTTGTCATGTTGCTGCCTGACACATTTCAATGGAAGCTTAAGGGATCCAGCCTAGGATCTTTTCTATGCAGAGCATATTCTTTCCCACTGAGCTCAGGTCCCTTGTTTCACGGGGTCCCAGCTTTTCCTCCCTGGCGTTCCTTTGCTCCTTTCCACCCACTTTCTATTTTAGAGAAGGCGCAGAATGGTCCTTAAGGGGTTTCTCCATGCTTTTCCCTGCTTCACATGGGTTTCTGTACATTTCCTGTTGTCCCCATAGGGCAACAGTTGGTACACAGAGCCCCAGGTAGTATAGATGAGTGGGTCCCACGAAGGAGGTGGGTAGGGAGACCAAAGACCAAGGAGAGCCTGTTAAAACTCCCATCACTACCCTGTGGGGTTTACAGATGGCCGTAAATGCTTCCCAAGGTAGATTTCATGGAATGGTCCAGCAGGGTTGGGCTTTGGTACCCATAATATTTAAAACTGCCATGGCAACTGACCAAAACCTCCCTTTGGTTCAACGCTGAATAGAAGACTCCTGCGATAGGAAACCAGTCTCAGAAAAGTCATTCACGGAGAGCTCCCCCCAAAAGCATAAATTCTGACCAAAAATGACCACTTTTGTGTGGGTGCAGTCATTACATGTCCTGTATGATTGCTTGCTTTCCTCAGAGAAGACAGTTTACTTTCCATGTAACAAACTGGTTGGCGATCCACGTTCTCTCTCTCTCTCCCCCCCCACCTTCCAAGTTGTACCGGAGGTTGTATTTGCCGAGAACCAAACAGGATTTCAGTGCAGCATGTAACTGTGGCTGAGGTGAAACAAATTGTTCTCCATTTTAGGGATGACTTTGACTCCAAGAAGAGGAAGCAGAAGGGTAATGAGCCCTGGGTGGCAAAGAAGCCGCGGCACGAGCCACCCCAATACCGAGTCCAGTTGGCCTGCTATACTGTGAATAGGTAAGAGCAAACGGGAGCCTTGTGATTGGCCCCAAATGCAGGGGAGAAAGAAATGGTTGCTGTGCATGAGTTATATGAGGTCAAGTGAGAGACCTCCTGGGGGTGGTATTCTACTGGTTCGGCCCAGTTCGTCTGAACCAGTTGCTCCCAGGATCATCTGTGAGCGAACTGGATTCGCTCCGACGATCAGCTGCTGGGCCTTTCTGCCCGCCTAGGCTCTATACCAGAGGTCTCCAAACTTGGCAACTTTAAGACTTGCGGACTTCAACTATGCTATGCTGGCTGGAGAATTCTGGGAGTTGAAGTCCACAAGTCTTAAAGTTGCCAAGTTTGGAGACCTCTGCTCTATACTGACGGTTATTTCCTGGTTTCGAAGCTCAGCTGCTTCGCGCGCCACAGAGAATTGTCACGCCACAGCTGTTGAACACACAGGGAGAGTGAAGAATTGCAGAAGAAGGTCAATAGCAAACCCTCTGCGCGCACGCAAAGTGCGCGTTTGGTGCATGTACGTGCAGGCCCACCAAGCCACACCCACACAACCAGTGGTAAAAAAAAGTTGAATCCCACCACTGGTCTGCCCCACACACACACTCCCCCAATATCTCCATTACTGGACAGGAGTTGCTGGCCTGCAACTCCCAGAGTCTTCAGGATCAAAGCCTTTGAGGAGCGAAGTTGAGGAGACTTCAGTATTGGTCAAGATAAGAGCAGTGCACGATTTCACTATCAGGCCCCGAGGACGCATTAGTAATAGAGCATAGGTTTGGCCTCTTGTAAAAGAGAAAAAGGGTGGTGGTGTTGTGGAGACGCTTGGTGAATGCCTGGCCCCTGTTTGGTTTAGATATGGGAAACAAACACATCCAGCCTTGTCAACGTTGACTGAAGTGTGTTGATTTGAATGCTCCAATGAATGTGTCATGCTTGTTGGAGTCTGATTCTGAGGGGGAGATTGAGCAGATGACAGGGAGTGGGAGTGTGGCTCTGGTGATTCGGGAGGGCACAGTCCAGTTGGGCATTCAGAGGAAGACCCAGGACTATCCCCTTTTCATCCTAGGGCATGCAGGGGAGAACGGAGAAGGGAGCAACCTGGCTTATGGGAGAGAAAAAGGCCCTGATCCCTTTCATTAGTTGCAGCTGGGAGAAGAGGATATAAGTGGGGTGTTTGCAAACAGCTCCTTGCTAGAATGGGTTTTGGCATCCTCCCAACTGGGTGCTGAGTTATCCTTTAAAAGTCTGCAATTTACCATCCTGGCCTGCCGTGTTAATTACTTCAGTGTGGTTTCTATTGGTTTTTTTTATTTCTAATTATCTTTACTTTGGGTTTGGACTGCATTTCTGCCCTTCATAGACTGTTTTTGGAAAAGTTTGATTTCCAGCCGAGGATAATTGGACATTGGGGCCCAAGTCGCAGGCATTAAAGGGAATTTATTCCTCTTTTGTGACTTTGTTATTTTTGTGTCACGCCCCTTTGGGTCATCACAGAATGTTTGCAAACTCAACCCTCCACCTGCTCTGAGTAAGACAAACCGCGGGAGTCTTGATGTCCTATAAAAGGGGGGTCCTTTGTTTTGGTCTCTGTGTCTTGGCAGCCCCTTCTGTGATGCCATGGAAATCTTGAGGCGCTACTGCAACATCCAGTTGCCCAAGGAATTCTATGATGTCCGCCTCTGCTGGTTGGACACCTTCCCTCTTAACCAGCCGTTGACCCTGAAGCACCCTAGTCGTATCCAAGTGGCCAGTCCTGCTGAAGAATTGTCTCCGACTGAAGAGGATACCAAGCCGGAGGCTCAGCCGGAGGACGCCAATCCCGCATTCAGTGCCAAGGTGAACACTTGGGACCCCGTTCTCTTCAACAGCAGGAGCCTCATAGCTGACCAAGAGAAAGTGCAAATAGTTTTAATGAGCTAAGCTGAGCGAAACTGAATCCTGCGGGGCTGTTTGGGCAGAAATGAGAAGCACATTTCAATTAATGCTTCGTACCTTCTCAACAAATGCTGCTGCATAAATTTATCTTGTGGTTGAATGTTGGGTGATCAAGGCCCCCGTGCTGTAGTGTTTCTTCTTTTGTGTTTTCTTGGTTTAAATCCATTTAAACGCCTTTCTCTTTAGTCTTTAGTTTAAAATATTCTAAGTACACTAGTTAGGAAATAAATGGGTAGGTGCTTTATATGTTGCTTGCAAACTATTCCGCCAGATTCCTTTTTGGGAGCACGGATAAAATTACTATGCCTGCGTGGAAACCTCCTGCATTAGTAAAATCTTGTTTATTTTATAAAGGTGATTATAAGGCAATGTTTTTCTTTTTTGTTTATTTTTCACACTTCTTAACTGCCTATCTCCCTTACTCCCTTTTATCGCAGCTTTCAGATAACAAGTGTTAAAATAAACACAGATTGAAAAGCAGGCCTGTTTTTTTTAAAAAAAAACAATCTCAAAATCAGAGAACAGAATAATTCAAGGAAAAGGTTTGCATGAAACAGTTTCAGTACCTCTTTAAACCAGAGTAAGAATGTGGACATTCTAACTCGGTTAGGCAGATAATTCTCCATTGGTTCCTACTTTACCAATAATCTTTTGCTGATGAAATAAAAAACATGACTTTTTTTCAAATGCCATAATTAAATCCACCATCGTCCTCTCTAACTTGTGAAGCCTCTCTGAGATTTTCACGCATTGATGTCTTCTTTTGTTTGAAGTTTTGGTAGTGGATTTTTTGGGGGGGATTTTCTGCTGCTGCACTCACGCTGCTCTCCGATGTAGGTTCTGCTGCTCTCTTCTCCTGGCATTGAGGAATTCTACCGCAATTGTCTGCTCTATATTGAGGAGCCCAGCGACCAGAGGGAAATCCCTGAACATCCCACAAAGCAAATTAAGGTAAGCAACATTGGCTGGAAGTAATGTAAATGGGTTGCATTTGTATCCAAATGCAGGTGTTGCCTGCAAATTTTGATCATTATATTGATAGAATGGGGTGTTTAATAAGTAAGGAGCAGTCATAGGGGCTAGAGTTGTTCGGGAGTTCAGTTTCATTTTCATTCTGTAGGCTTCACCTTGTCTTTTATTTTGGGCAGCTAAGAAGTCTTAGCTAATAGGTTGAAAGTTTTTGCTCACCAAAGAAGGAAGTAACTGTCCATAATTCAACAGTTCTTAGTTCATCTGGCAAGGGTTTGTTCACTGTACATTTTCTAAAAATCAATTAGCCTTACGGCTCTCAACCACGGGGCCCTCCCATTTTTACACTGTGATCCTAGGATATCATATAAAGATACCCTTCAGTCTAAAAAAAGAGTGCAGCCCCCTTCTGAAACTTCTCTTGGCTTCACCATCAACCAGGGATGTAGAATCAGACATCCTTGCTGCCTCTTGGGCTGTCTTCCACATAGAATTGTTTTCGTCAGCCAGTCTTTTTCCATAGACCCACATTTTGCATTGGGGCAGGTGGATATCTAGACCATCCTTGTGAAAAGCAGTGTCTGAAGGCTCTGGTGAACTGGTGCAATAAAAGTAACCTGGTTCTAAATGTTAATAAAACGAAGGAGATCATCGTGGATTTTTAGAGAGTTGGCATGGTCATACTCCACTCAGTATCAAGGATGCAGCTGCAGAAGTGGTCAACAGTATTAAGTATCTGGGGGTGCAGATAACTAACAATCTGAACTGGTCTCCACACGCGTCATCCTTAGTGAAGTGTGCAAACACAGCACCTGCGTGTCGAACGAGGAGAGCATATCTTTCTCCTTCTGGCCACTTATTGCAGAGGCACAACCGGGAACATTTTAACAAACTGCATCCCTGTTTGGCTTGGTGGTAGCAGATAGAAAGTCCCTACAGAGAGTGGTGAGGACAGCCGAGAAGATTATAGGAAGCTCGCTTCCTGTTATTCAGGATGCTCCTTATAAGCGCTATGTGCTTAGAGCTCGAAGCATTGTGAGACACCCCACACACCCACTTCACAGTCTGTTTCTGTTGCTCCCCTCTGGGAGGAGGTTTCCAAGTATTTCTAGCAGGACAACCAGATTCTGTAACAGCTCTGTTCCCTGTGCCATCTGTCTGGTACTTGCGAGATTCGTTTTTCTCGCCATGTACATACATGGAGACACCTGAACTAGACTGTGTTGTTTCTCTGTGTCATATATGTGGGTATATTGTTTCTCTGTGTCATATATGTGGGTATATGCATAATTTTATATGTATTTAGTTTGTCATGTTTATGTAATGTATATTGGAGGTGGAGACCTTCGAGAGCTGTATGCAACGAGAATTCATTTTCTCTTATTTTATTTTTATTTTTTTAAGTTTTTAAAAATGCTTCATTTAGCACAAAAGATTAAAATATACAAATATACAAGAATAAAAAAAGTAGTAATCATACAAATAGACATCAGCACAAATCGTATTTCTCTCTAATACATTTGATAGTGATTTAGGTAACTCATGACATATATTGGATGGCAAATGTTCCTTATCCCTAGTAAACTCAATACTATCTATATTATATATTATTTTATAGTCTCTTATTATTGGATTATAACTTGTCATTTTGTAAATAAATCCTTTATATAACTTATTCAATAAGAAAGAGAAATAAAACTTAATATTTTATTAATTCCTGTCATTAGACATATATGTAGTAATATGTTTCCTGAGTTCATTTTATACATTTTTTTTCTTACGGTCTATCCAGTTGTAGCATTTATCCCAAATCGAATAATATTCAGAATCATATTTCCCTTTTAGTTTTAGTGGAAGCCTTTCCATTTCAGCACATTCGTAAATTTTCTGAACAATAATGTGTATTGTTGGTAAGTTGGGCATTTTCCAAAATTGTGCCAGTGAGATTCGTGCCGCTGTTAGTATATGAATAATCAAGTACTTTATTTTTGAGAGGGTACTCACCTTCGATTATACCCAGAAGGCACAATTCAACATGTATGCCAATTAGCGTACATCCAAAGGGAGAATAAAGCGATCCTAATCTAACCTTAAAAAAGAAAAAAGATCTTCTAGTCCCCTCCATGTCTCCTCTGTCCTTCTCGGGGTTTGATCGACAAAGAGCAGTTCTGTCTGCAAAGCTTCCCTGGGAGCTTCCTCCACCCCCCCCACCCCCCCAAAATAAAATCTAAAGCAGGGGACCATTTGGTGTTTTGCCTGATCAGCTTCTCTTTCCTCAGTTCCTGCTGGGGAAGAAGGCAGAGGAGCTGCTTCTTGTGGGAGGAGAGTGGTCCCCTTCCCTGGATGGTGCCGACCCAGCTACGAACCCCACCGTCCTGATCCTCACAGCCATTCGTTGCGTCAAGGCCCAGATCGGCTTGGATTTGAGCCCCTGCATGAAGTGGTGAGTCTTGTGCCATTGAGCTGTGCCTTCCACCCCCCGTCCTTTTTGCTGTGGTTGTTGAGTCCGGGGATTTGTTGTGAACGGACAATGCAGGAAGCAAATTAGGGGCATCGTCATCCACTATTCCTTGCGCCTGGGAGTGACCTGCAGCTCACATTCCCTTCCGCCTTTTAACCCCTTTTGGTAGTCAGGAAAGATGCTGCCAGACTCCTGAAGTGATGGAGCGAGAGGCGGAATCTCTGCCCGTAAGGCTGTCCTGGCTCATTCAAGCAACTCTAAGCAAGAAGGTCCCACAGGTGTTTTTTTTTTTTTTCAAGAGGCCAATGGACTTTTCTGGTTTTTCTTTTGAAGACGTAACGCTCCTCATCCAAGAAGCGTCTTCAGCTCGGTTACCTCCATTGTGAAATTAATCTACCTTATTCTTTCATTGAGGGATGCACGCGGTGGCTCAGGGGCTAAGCGTGTTGGTCAGAAAGATTGGCAGTTCGGTGGTTTGAATCCCTAGCGCCGGGTCACGGAGGGAGCTCCCGTCAACTTGTCCCAGCTTCTGCCAACCTAGCAGTTCGAAAGCATGTAAAAAAACGTGCAAGTAGAAAAATAGGGACCCCTTGGGTGGGAAGGTAACAGCGTTCTGTGCGCCTTCGAAGGCGTTTAGTCCTGCTGGCCACATGACCACAGAGACGTCTTCGGACAGCGCTGGCTCTTCGGCTTTCTAACGGAGGTGAGCACAGCCCCTCCCCCCGAGCCGAAAATGACTAGCACGTATGTGCGAGGGGAACCTTTACCTTTACCTATTCTTTTATTGAGAAGTTGGAGCTGTGCTTTCTGCAATATGTTTTCTGCCCTGAGTCCCTTTCCTGACGAACCCAGGCGCAGGCTGTGGGGTGGGGTGAGTCTATGTTGCCTGCATCTCAAACTGAAGTGCAAATGGTTCCTGTAGTCCGTAATTTTTCTGGAAATCCATTCCTACTCCGGCGGCATTTGAACGGTGAGTTCATCCCAAAGTGCAGAGCTAAAAATCAGTAGAGATTCTCCGTTTTCCAGGTCATGTCAGTCGCAAAGGTGCTCCTTCAAGAGGCAACTGGACTTCCTTCGTTTTGTCTTTGAAGACGTTTCGCTTCTCATCCAAGAGGCTTCTTCAGCTCTGACTGGAGGGTGGAGAATGGAAGGACTGATACCCCTTGCAGACAGCTGGTCATTCGCATTCTGCAATATCAATCCTTCCATTCTCCTCCGCCCAGTCAGAGTTGAAGAAGCTTCTTGGACGAGAAGCGAAACGTCTTCAAAGAAAAACAAAGCCCAGCTGCCTCTTGAAGAAGCACCTTTGGGACCACCCTGATTAGAAGGACTAAGAATCTCCGTTAGACACATAAGCAAGAATGTTGCATGGCACCCAGGTGTCAGGCCGTTACTGTATCATCACTTCCCATAATTTTTGAGGGACTCTGGTCCATGGACGCTGATGTGGCAGTACGTTTATCGGTCTTGAAAATGTTTTCCTTTATTTTGACTCCAAGGGGTGCATTAGAGTCCTTTGCCTTGTTCCATAGCCTCAAAAGGTAAGGAATAAATAGCCAGCTGGGCCACTAGATGGTGCATTTTGTAACAAATTGTGTTATTGCATGACACTCTACAAGAAAGATGCGGGGAGGGATTTTTTGAACTTTTCTGCCAAAGTCTTGCAGCCTTAGTTGGATCTGCATGACTGGATATCCAAAAAAACAACACAAAAGGAAGACTTTTAAGGCACTTAATTTGTAGAAAGAGAAGACTGGGTTTGCTTAAGAACAGGACTCCCCAAACTTGGCAGCTTTAAGACTTGTGGACTTCAACTCCCAGATTTCCCCAGCCAGCTGGCTGGGGAATTCTGGGAGTTGAAGTCCACAAGTCTTAAAGTTGTCTAATTTGTAGACCTCTGCTTTAGAGGATAATTTGTACCTCTGACATTAGAGGTTAATGTATATTTAGATTGCCTGAAAACAAATTGTATAAATTAAATAACATTTTTATTAGAAAATAAGATCAGCAGGAATCAGTAGATGGGAGTAGAGAGATACGGGGCTTAGGAGACAGACTTGTGCAAGCTGTAGAGCAGACTTACAGAAATCTTTTTTTTTTAAGAAAATTTTCTTTCTAATTATAATATTTAATTGATGTAAGGGAATGTAGGAAAAATAGGAGTAATGCTATCCGTAGTGTTTACCTTGTGTTATTTTAATTGCACTTCAACTGAAATAAATCCAAACCTGCTTTCCACCCTGCCCTGACTGCTTCTTAGAGCGTAGCATGTTGCCCAAAGGAAGAAGAAAAAAAAGGACCTTTGATTTGTACAAAATTGAGGGCCCTAAACAGATGCTTTGTTCTTTAATCGTAAGATTGTCTTTGCCTTTCTGTGAGCCAAGGGCACACTTTATTTTTCCAGCCTGCCGTTTATTTATTTGTTTATCTATTTGTTGGCTTGTTTCACTTCCTCTTAATGTCTACCATTACCATTGCCAAGAGAAGGATATGGGTACCAGTATGAGTTGAGCTTTCTGACGGTGCCCAGGCAGGAGGATTTTGGTTGGTTTTGTGTCCCTGTGGGCTTTTCAGAGACGCCACCTTATCCTTCCCCGTCAGTCAAGCACCCTGGGCTTCTGGTTTTCTGGAGGTCTTGCACATGCTTTTGTGCATGAGCTCTTAGGAGCCAGAGAAGGCTTCACATGCTCTAACCTCCACCCAATCAGCAGTGAGGAAAAAGGCTGGAACTTGGAGTGCTTTGGTTTAGTTGGAAGGAGTATGGTTATATATAGCTTCCTTGTGCTAGATAACCATGGCAACCAAATTTATTTTGTGTAAATCAGGCTGCGCATGTGACTTGTTGGGGAAGCATCAGACTTGGGAAGAAAGGAATTGGGGGGCCCGTGAAGCATTGCCACGTGTGGCATTTCTCAGAAATCCATGCTCTCCGTTGTGTAGTAAGAGTCTGTTGCCTGAGGTTAATTCTGTCTGGGCAGAAGTCCAGCCATAAGGAAGGCATAACTAACCTCCCCTGCCCCAATACTTGAGTCTCATTGAGGCAGATGTACAGCAGAGTATTGTTCCATGTTTACCTAAAGCAGGTGTGTCAACCCGTGGCCCACGAGCCACATGTGGCCCTGGGCAGTTGGTAATGTGGCCCCACAAGATTGTATGAAAAATAAAAACAAAAGTAAGTTTGTTACTTAGGTACACTAAAGACTAAAACAAATGAAGGATGGTTCTGGGAACCATTTTTATGGTCGAGTGAAAAGAAGGAACAGAGGTGAGATGATAGTGCTCCAATCCTTGAGGGGCTGTCACAGAGAGGGAGGGGGTCAAGTTATTTTCCAAAGGCCAGACAAGGAATCATGGATGGAAACTGAACAAGGAGAGATTCAACCTGGAAATAAGGAGGAATTTTCTGACATACCAATCAACCCATGGAACGGAAGTTGCCTTCAGAAGTTGTGGGAGCTTCATCACCGGAAGCTTTTAAGAGACTGGGCCGCCATCTGTCAGAAATTGTGTAGGATTTGTTGCTTGGGCAGGGGATTTGGGCTAGATGACCTATATAAGGTCCCTTCTATTCTATTCTAATTCTAATTCTAATTCTATTTCTATTTCTATTTCTATTTCTATTTCTATTTCTATTCCTATTCTATTCTATTCTATTCTATTCTATTCTATTCTATTCTATTCTATTCTATTCTATTCTATCCTTGTTCCTGTTCCTACTCTACAATACTCTACTCTACTCTACTCTACTCTACTCTACTCTACTCTACCCTACCCTACCCTACCCTACCCTACCCTACTCTACTCTACTCTACTCTACCCTACCCTACCCTACCCTACCCTACCCTACCCTATCCTACTCTACTCTACTCTACTCTACTCTACCCTACCCTACCCTACCCTACCCTACTCTACTCTACTCTACCCTATCCTACCCTACCCTACCCTACCCTATTCTAATCATCAAATATTTTTAGCTCCTGCCAGGAAAGTCAGGGAGGATATGATAATAAATGCCTTCCAGTACTTGAGAGGCTGTCACAGAGAAGAGGGGATTGACTTATTCTTCAGGGCACCAGAGGGCAGGACAAGAAGTGATGGGTGGAAACTTGTTAAAAAGAGATGCAATGTAGAAGTAAGGAGAACGTTTCTAATAGAATAATGAATCAATGGAATAATTTGCCTCCCAGGACTGGGTGCTCCCATCATGGGAGGTTTTCCAAAATAGACAGCTCTTTGACCGGGCTGCTATAAATCTCTTGCCTTGGGTACTGGGTTGGACTATGTGACCTCCAAGGTCCCTTCCAGCCATACAGTGCTATTCAACCCCTTACAGGCCCTTTTGAGCACACAGCTCTGCATCCAGGCTGCCGTTGATCTCTGGCTGAACTCCCCCATGGGTGGGACTGACCCCTTTTGGGAAATGTTCATATTTTTTTTTTTTGCTTTTATCTGAATTCTCTGCCCTTGATGTTCCTTAGGTACCGGTTGGCGGAGTTCAGGTACCTGCGTGAGGGAAACCCGTCTTACCAGGAGCAGACGGTGGTTTTCCTGCCAGATATTTGGAGCCTGATGCCATCCCTTGAAGAGTGGGAGACCTCGTGCAAACAGAAAGCCGAAAAAGCGGCAGCACCTTTGGAAGGAAAAAGCGAGGCGGTGAGAGTGGATTCGACCTGGGTCTGACCTGGTTTCATTTGAGCAGGAAGGAATGGGGGGGGGGGTCACTCTCAGATGATGGGTGGAAGGGAAGAGAGAGCCTTGGTGCCTAACCCATTTCTTCCCATTTATACATGGACTTGTTGTGTTTTATATCCGGCTTCCTTGAGATTTCCACAGATGGCATGTTTTGTGACCTTAGCTTTATTATGACCTCGGTTAGTTTAAATCAGGGCTCCCCAAACTTGGCAACTTTAAGGCTTGTGGACTTCAACTCCCAGAATTCTCCAGCCAGCATAGCAACAGCTGACTGGAGAATTCTGGACGTTGAAGTCCACAAGTCTTAAAGTTGCCAAGTTTGGGGACCCCTGGTTTAAATGGACAGCTGTGATTTGATTGTTGGCCTTGCCTTTAGATTGAAATCAGACATTCTTGGCTCTTGAGAGCATATTTCTGTTTAACGGGGTCAGGGGTTTCCCAACATCTGGCCACTTTTAGACCTGTAGATTGTAGCTGGCTGGGGAATTCTGGGAGTGGAAGTCCCACAAGTCTTAAAGTTGCCAAGTTTGGAGAGCCCTGAAATAGATTCAAGACATACAGCGTTTTTCTTGCTGAGGGTCACCCAGTTGGCTTTTGAGCAGAACACCAGTAGTAACCTCCTAAAAGTTGGCCAGATCAGGGCCAAGAAGTCAATGAGATCCAAACGAAAAACTATAAATTTGATTTAATTTGTTCTCCTCTTCAAAACTTGTAATAGTTTTCTGGCTGAGTTACAGTATGGTGGCCACTTTTGGAAGGATTTTGGCTGGAGCCCTTGGATCTTCAACCTTCATATCACTGATGCTTTGCCTTCTAACAATGACGCTTCCAAACAGGTGGAAGAAACTGAACAGACCTCAGAACCAGCTGCGGACCAAGAAATGGAGGCCAGTGAGCAGGAAATGGACTCAGCTGTACCAGTCCCCGAGCTAGCTCTGGAGACGTCGACTTCTGAACCAGAGATCCCAGCTCCTCCACTGGAACCCGCCATAGTTGTTTACCCTCAGCTGGCACTGCAAAATGGGCAGCCCAGTTGCACCAACATCTCTCTTTACACTTTGCTTGAGTACAGAAGGCAGCGGGAGAAGCTCTCCTTTGAGGTAGGTTTTGTGGAAGTTCTCGGGGGTGTGTGTGTAGCTGGCCCCCTCATCTGGCTTGGCTCTGCCTGCTTAGATGCCCCCATCTGGTTAGAAGGTTAGGTTCTGGGGGTGCACGATGGTGTGAATTCCCCTGCATTTATGATTAAGATAGAAGAGAATATTTATAGCTCAGAGTTGAACTGTGGGCCCTCTGAGCTTTGTTTCCTTGCAGATGTTTCATTACCAAACTGAAATACCTAATTTGGTAATGAAACATCTGCAAGAAAACTACCAAGCACAGAGAGCACAAAGGACCTCGCATTTATGACAAAGCCTACTATTGGCTACTGCTACTAAGAAGCCGTTTGCATTTAGGTTTTCCCTCTCTTCCAGCCATAAGGTTGAATCAAGAGAGCTTGGAAGAGGTAGCGCCGTGTGAATCACCAGCAGAATAGGAGGAATACAAACAAGGGGTGGGGACCTTTGAAGACAGAGTAGAGTTGGAAAGTGGATTTTGTAGGGTCTGAGTATCAAGATGTTCATGATTTTTTAAAAATGCAGACATAAAATAAACTGAAATAAATCCTGTAGTAGAAGAAGTGGAAAATGCAATACATGTTAAAGCCAGAGATTACCTAACTATTATGGACTGGTGTACATCACCAACCCTTTCTCCTTAATGTCAGGGTTCCAGGTAACATACCTGTAGCACACAAAACTGAGGCAGGTAGTTTCCTCAAAGAATGAGTTTATTAGCTATGTCATATTGCACAGGCTTGGAAACCCGGCTCTTGAGTTTCCCTGGGGTTTTCACCTAATTAAAAATTTGTCACTTTCCCAAAACAACCAGTCACATGGTCCAGTCAGGATATTGTCCAGGTGCTAGGTGACTCCAGTCTGCTCCTCCCGAGCCCCACCCACAGGAACACCCTTGATTCTCGAGGGAAAGTATTTTGTTTTGACTACAATACCCCAACTATCTCTATTCCCCTTCCTGTCCCTCTTCTCCAGTGTCTCAGCTGTCAGGAGTCCAATAAATCCATCCTCATCCAAATCAAAATTCTCTAGCTGCATCTCAGAAAAAGTAAATTGTTTTATTAGAAATTGCCATGTTGGCGCGTGGCTGGGTACAGCCGATACTAAATCACATCATACATTTCCCCCTTGACCCTGGTCTTTCCCCCACCCCCTGGATGTGACTTCCCCAATGAGACACATCCGTCTCCCAAGAGTCATCCATCATGCTCTCCAATAACCTTCTTATGCTCTGACAACTTTGGGCTACCGAGGTGATTATCTAGGCATTTCAAGAATGCCTTGTTTACCCCCCTGACTCCCTTTTTCTGGCAGCTAAAAAGACTAAAGGAGTATCTTTTTAGTTGACATCAGTGCTGAAGTCTTCAAATGGCCTCAGTCAGGTCAGCTTCAGGGTTGGACATGTAGCACCGGGGCATATGCCACTGGATTGAGCCTCCCAACTTCCCAGTGCTGTTTCTGCCAATGCCGATGTCCCACCGGCCCACTCAGCACCTTCTCTTCTCGGTCTTCTCAGCCTCTGATGCCAGCATCCTATCGGAGCGTATCCCCTTCCAGCAGATTTCCACCTGTTGAATCCCCAATCTGTTAAAACCAGGCGTGCCCCGCATAGGTGTGTGGACGCTCAGCCTTTCCCTAGTTTAGGCCTCGAGATCTTTCCCAGCTTCTCGCTCCCTGATCTCTCTTGCTCCTTCTTCCCCCCTCCCGAGGTGGCAGTGATGGCAGAGGTTTTCCAGGAGATGCTCCAGCGGGATTTTGGCTACAAGCTTTATAAGGCACTCCTGGCCCTGCCGGAAAAGGAGGAGCCTCCAGAGGCCAAGAATCCCGATTCAGAAAAAGTGCCGAAATCTGAAAAGGAAGCAGAGAACGAACTGAAGGAGGAACCTCAGGAGAAACCCGGAACAGAAGATGCACCAGAGAGTAACCAGAAGGAAGTTCAAGTACGTCTATACAACTCTCCAGGCCTTACAGTACAATTGGGTGCCCCCCCCCCCCATCTTAGGCCAGTTGCTTCCTCTCCTCACCTTGTCTGACATTGCACGGTTTGCATTTTCTTCCGATTGTGAAGGATACC